CCCTAAAGCAGAGTCCAGAATAGTTTTTGCAATCAAGTTAGGTCTGGGAGATTCGTTACGGGGGAAAGTCGATAATTTATTGGAAAATTCGTGAAAAATTAATGGAACTTTGTAGGGATTTTTTGAAGGTTGAGAATGATAGAGTAGACACTAAAGCAGAGTCCAGAATAGTTTTTGCATTCAAGTTAGGTCTGGGAGATTCGTTACGGGGGGAAGTCGATAATTTATTGGAAAATTCGTGAAAAATTAATGGTACTTTGTAGGGATTTTTTGAAGGTTGAGAATGATAGAGTAGACACTAAAGCAGAGTCCAGAATAGTTTTTGCATTCAAGTTAGGTCTGGGAGATTCGTTACGGGGGGAAGTCGATAATTTATTGGAAAATTCGTGAAAAATTAATGGTACTTTGTAGGGATTTTTTGAAGGTTGAGAATGATAGAGTAGACCCTAAAGCAGAGTCCAGAATAGTTTTTGCAATCAAGTTAGGTCTGGGAGATTCGTTACGGGGGAAAGTCGATAATTTATTGGAAAATTCGTGAAAAATTAATGGAACTTTGTAGGGATTTTTTGAAGGTTGAGAATGATAGAGTAGACACTAAAGCAGAGTCCAGAATAGTTTTTGCATTCAAGTTAGGTCTGGGAGATTCGTTACGGGGGGAAGTCGATAATTTATTGGAAAATTCGTGAAAAATTAATGGAACTTTGTAGGGATTTTTTGAAAGTTGAGAATGATAGAGTAGACACTAAATTAGAGTCCAGAATAGTTTTTGCATTCAAGTTAGGTCTGGGAGATTCGTTACGGGGGAAAGTCGATAATTTATTGGAAAATTCGTGAAAAATTAATGGAACTTTGTAGGGATTTTTTGAAGGTTGAGAATGATAGAGTAGACACTAAAGCAGAGTCCAGAATAGTTTTTGCATTCAAGTTAGGTCTGGGAGATTCGTTACGGGGGGAAGTCGATAATTTATTGGAAAATTCGTGAAAAATTAATGGAACTTTGTAGGGATTTTTTGAAGGTTGAGAATGATAGAGTAGACCCTAAAGCAGAGTCCAGAATAGTTTTTGCATTCAAGTTAGGTCTGGGAGATTCGTTACGGGGGGAAGTCGATAATTTATTGGAAAATTCGTGAAAAATTAATGGAACTTTGTAGGGATTTTTTGAAGGTTGAGAATGATAGAGTAGACCCTAAAGCAGAGTCCAGAATAGTTTTTGCATTCAAGTTAGGTCTGGGAGATTCGTTACGGGGGGAAGTCGATAATTTATTGGAAAATTCGTGAAAAATTAATGGAACTTTGTAGGGATTTTTTGAAGGTTGAGAATGATAGAGTAGACACTAAAGCAGAGTCCAGAATAGTTTTTGCAATCAAGTTAGGTCATTCTCAACCTTCAAAAAATCCCTACAAAGTTCCATTAATTTTTCACGAATTTTCCAATAAATTATTGACTTTCCCCCGTAACGAATCTCCCAGACCTAACTTGAATGCAAAAACTATTCTGGACTCAGCTTTAGGGTCTACTCTATCATTCTCAACCTTCAAAAAATCCCTACAAAGTACCATTAATGTTTCACGAATTTTCCAATAAATTATCGACTTCCCCCCGTAACGAATCTCCCAGACCTAACTTGAATGCAAAAACTATTCTGGACTCTGCTTTAGGGTCTACTCTATCATTCTCAACCTTCAAAAAATCCCTACAAAGTTCCATTAATTTTTCACGAATTTTCCAATAAATTATTGACTTTCCCCCGTAACGAATCTCCCAGACCTAACTTGAATGCAAAAACTATTCTGGACTCAGCTTTAGGGTCTACTCTATCATTCTCAACCTTCAAAAAATCCCTACAAAGTTCCATTAATGTTTCACGAATTTTCCAATAAATTATCGACTTCCCCCCGTAACGAATCTCCCAGACCTAACTTGAATGCAAAAACTATTCTGGACTCTGCTTTAGGGTCTACTCTATCATTCTCAACCTTCAAAAAATCCCTACAAAGTTCCATTAATTTTTCACGAATTTTCCAATAAATTATTGACTTTCCCCCGTAACGAATCTCCCAGACCTAACTTGAATGCAAAAACTATTTTGGACTCTGCTTTAGGGTCTACTCTATCATTCTCAACCTTCAAAAAATCCCTACAAAGTTCCATTAATTTTTCACGAATTTTCCAATAAATTATTGACTTTCCCCCGTAACGAATCTCCCAGACCTAACTTGAATGCAAAAACTATTTTGGACTCTGCTTTAGGGTCTACTCTATCATTCTCAACCTTCAAAAAATCCCTACAAAGTTCCATTAATTTTTCACGAATTTTCCAATAAATTATCGACTTCCCCCCGTAACGAATCTCCCAGACCTAACTTGATTGCAAAAACTATTTTGGACTCTGGTTTAGGTTCTACTCTATCATTCTCAACCTTCAAAAAATCCCTACAAAGTATCATTAATTTTTCACGAATTTTCCAATAAATTATCGACTTCCCCCCGTAACGAATCTCCCAGACCTAACTTGAATGCAAAAACTATTCTGTACTCAGCTTTAGGGTCAACTCTATCATTTTCAAACTTCGAAAAATCTCTACAAAGTATCATTGATTTTTCACGAATTTTCCAACAAATTATTGATTTCCCCCCGTAATGAATCTCTCAGTCCTAACTTGACTGTAAAAACTCTTCTGAACTGTGCTTATGGGTCAACCGAACTCTATCATCCTCAAATTTCAAAAAAATTGCACAAAGCATCAATATTTTTCCACAAATTTTCAAACAAATTATCGTTTTTCCCTCGTAGTAACTTTTCCAGACCTAACTTAACTGGAGCAAATATCCTCGAATGTGCCTGAGGGTTATTTCTACTTTTTCCGAATCCCAGAAATCCCCTACATAATATAAAAATTGTATTTCATTGAATTTCACGGTTTTTTAATTTTTCTTTTCAATAATTATCTGGTCGACTGTAATATACACGAATCTGAATATGAATATGAAGCTAACTTCAGCTACGTTAATTTTTCAAGTATATAAGCCCTGACGAAGCCCTAAAATTTCTGGGCGAAACGATGGCAAAAACTTAGACCTTTTATTTTTCTTGTCCTAACCGACGAATCACCCCCTTCCTTTAATATTGCCTATGTATATCCGAGTGTATATCTATAAAAAGTGTAATATTTTCGATTCCGCACGTGTTTTAGACTAAGTTACTTTTTCTAAGACAATCAAATCAAAATTTTAGTTTCCCACTGAAAAGATATAAATCTAAGTTATTACTTAGGTAGTTACCCATTCTTTCACTAGAAATGATGCTATTAAGTATTTATAATAGCTATAAAAAAAGCATAGGACCAGAAGACAAATGTTTTTCCTCAATGGACTCTTTCATTAAAATTTGAATACGTAAGTTAAGCATAAAATCTCAAATTAGGGACTATTTTAGGTGTATTTGCCAAAAAAAAAAAATTATCTACGAGCGAATTTAGGTAGGTTCCTACAGACACTTCAACTTCAAAAGTGGAAAAATTTAAAATCCTTAAAACTTAATTAAGAAGACTTCATCGACAAAGCACAAACAGCTAGCTATAGCTGTTCCGGTGGCCGCTGGCTAAAAGTTTTGTGTGCGCTGTTGTGAGCTTTGATTAAATGGAGTGCGTCGTGAGAAAAAAATTAGAACTAATTACAAAAAATAAATTTATATTGTGTTTGATGATAATTAAAAAAAAAAAATGTTATGAACTTTTGAATCACTGAGTAATTAAATCAACTATTTTTCTTGGAACAAATTTCCGTGTTTTTATTTAGAGAGTTTTATTTTTTATTTATTTTCTGACAAAAAAACTCCAAGTTTTTCAAAAATAAGGTTGCAGAAAATGCTTTTTAGTTGCTCTATCCTTAATTATGCCAATTTCAGAAACAAGTGAAAGAGCCATTATGACATAATTACTGAAAAACATACGAAAAGTCCCAACATTATATAAATCTAGTGCATTTTACCGAAATTCAATGTAAAAAGTCTAGAGTTGTAAACTCATTAGCATCATCATCTAACCAAATTGAAACGAAATTTCGTCAAATAGTCGTTAATTTTTTTTCATTCCTCAATCGAATAGTTTGCTTTAACAAATCACCAGAACAAATTAATTTAGGAGCCTTATCCTTTATCTCTAGTCAAGGATCGTTTACTAAGACAAGGTGCAAAATCAAGGTGGTACAAAGAATTCTATTCCCTTATGATCTCCAGGCCCGATCCCATAAATCAATGTTTTTGTAGTTGATGGGGGAGTTTTTGCTACATAAAGTAGTTTGGCAAAAACCAGCAACCTATACTATGAAATGTAATATGAATTCCCTATTCAATATGTTTATTTTGCACACCATTCTTATGGAAGATCTCAAGTTTCTTTAAAGAGTGGATGATTTTCTTGCTCTCAAGGAGCATCTGAATAGATTAGCTCAACGTATTAAAGTGCAAAGTAAATTTCACAGGGCTAGAACTTTTAACGAATACATCTGCCATATGGGCGTATTGTTCACCAATAACCTTGACTTCTCAGATCACATTTATTTTACTCTTTATGCTATCATGACAAACAAACAAAAAGTTCATTTTTTTTATCCACTAAAAAAAAACAAGCTTGTTGACAAAAATGAACAAGTTATATACAAAAACCTGAAAAATCAAGATGGCGGTTAGGTTTTTTTCAATGGGAGACTTTGGTATTTACTTTTTAAGGGTATCCATCCAGAATTTCATAATGTTTACAACCAAATTTGTAGCTTGTTAAAAATTACTTCTTTTGATAGGTCTATTCATACTGTGCTAAAATGTTCATGTATAGGTAGTTGAACAATTTTCCAGAAACTTATTATTCACATTCACCAAACTGTCGATAAAATTTTAAATGAGTAGTACACCAGGTAGTACCTACGTATAATTATTATTGACTATGAATAATGGAAACAAAGAGTAGAGTGTGTCTCATAAAATACTTGCTCTACTTACCAGATCGGCTAAATTGTTGTCATTCAAAAAGTAGGAATGCAACCCTTTCTTGGCTTCTTCGTTGTGCGTTTTGATTTTTTTAACGTTAGCCAGCCAAGCCTCTTTTCGAAACGCGTCATGATGATCTGAGTATGACTTGTTGAATTTTTCCTAAAATAAAAAACATTTGCAGGAAAATAGTATTTTTACTATAGTTTTAGCACGGCTTGTCTTAGATTCATTATTGAATTTTATGGACCAGCTGAAGTTCTTTTACTCACTTTGAATTCATTCCAGTCCTCATCAATTACTTTATCATCAGCTAAACGATTTCTAAAAACAAATTGACACGAATAACTGTCAAATATCAAACTCAAGACACAGAATAGGATTATGGACATATTTTAAATTTTCAAATCACTTTTTACCATCGATGATGATAATTAATAATAACTGATGACAGTTTGTTATGCATATTGTAACTAATTGTGATTATGTCAGATCAGCTATTATATCGAATAAAATATGCATTGTTTTTATTATTTTAACAATAATGCAACACTCTCGGTAAATAAAATGTATATTCATATTTTGTTCGTCTAGTGAATCGAAATGATATTATGAAAACTTTTCTCCAAACTAACAAAGACGCAAGCAAATGGAGTAGAAGTAGGCCATGAACGGAAATTACTATTGCTCAGAAATTACGCAAAATATTTTTTCCGCGATATCAACATTTTGATTCGTTGACAGGCCACAAAATACAAATATTCTGGTATTTTTATTATACCTATTCCATTAGTTGCTCACGGAATCGATCTAGGCCGGGAAAGTGATTCCAGCAGTGCTGAATTAGGAACAATTTAACATAACATACATTTCCAGGATATTTTTGTAGGTAATAACACTACTGTTTTATTTAAAGTAATCATTAAAAATTCAAATAATAATCTAAAAATATCAATAGTTTAGTGTATTTTTGTAATTTTAACAACAATATCGATGTAAAACGATTGAAACTCTTCGATAAACCAATAATCAACTGAATCAACAATTGTTCATTAGCATAAGTAACAAGTTAGTGACAAGGTGATTCTTCTAAAAGTTTCCAATTCATTTTCAGAAAACAAAATAACAAACCCCTAACCTGTGCTGTCTGCCCTATTTGAAATTGAAGTTCCAAAAGTAAATTCGCATTATCTAAATTAAAAATGGCGTTGGTGAATTAAAGATCGTCATAAAAAAATATTCAACATAACATATGCAAAAGCAAAAATTATCGCATTGGTGTTAATTCTTTAATACAATGTTGACCTGCGCGCAAACATTGCAAAACTATATGTACTTGGAACGATGTTTTTTATATCTCCTCTCTGCAAGTGTATACATAATATATGTATTAGTAGCCTAACTCTATTAATATGGACAAGTTAATGTTAAATATAAATAGTTGTAGTCTAATAGTGTTTGAATGAATTTCATTAAAAATAATGTGTAGAAATATTTTAGAGCCACTTATCGCTATTTTTAAAGATAAACTATTTTAAAGATTTATTGATGTCTATCAAAAAGAAAGTTTTCGATACAATGCAGTAGTAGGTTGTGAGATTATCATTTCAACGAACAGAAAAAGGGCTCAATAGGATATACCATAACTTAGTGTTTTATGATGTTATTGTATTTTACCTTCATCTAATAATAAAGTCGGTTACCAAACCGATGTGGATTAACCACTTGCCGTCCCCTTTTTGCACCCATTTATGTCTTGTGTTGATGTCGGCAACCAACTCCAAGTCTTGCATCATTTATCAAATGCTACGTTAATTTACGTAGGCATAGATATATTATGGTCAAGTCCAGTGCTTCTATTTCCACTTCGGGTGGGGCCCTTTAGTGCTTCTAAAATGAGTCAAAAATATCGTAAAAGTTCCAACCTACTATCCATTGTTTGCTGTCAAAACTAAAATGGAAATTATTTTTTGACATTTTCAATCGCGATTTTCTTGAAAACTGTTTAAGTTAGGTATAGGATATTATACATAAAATATGCTTAGAATTTCTTATAGAATCCAAAAATGTAATAATATAGGGGGTGATCTAGTTGAAATAAAGAAGTTGATGGCACTTGCGGTCAAACCAGAAGCGATAGTCGATTGTTTTTATAGCGAAATTCTGCATGGATATCAATAATATACATCCTCAAAACTTGAAATCGATATTGATATTCATGCCTGAACTAGAGCTTGGTCAGTAATCTCGTAGTCACCCGGTATGTTCGAGGCAAATATGCTACTCCTAACCTCACTTCTAGACTAACGGAAGCCAATTACCTGGATAATTCTAGAAACAACGGCACACTATAAAACCGAGTCGGTCGTCATAATTAACAAAAACGAAACATTCGCAAATGCAAGTGATGGCGAAGAAGCGATTGCCAAATGGCAATAGCCAAATGGCAATAGCCAAACCGTCTCGAACTTCTCGATTCCCTATGTAGACCCTCATTTCCCCGTCTATGCTCTACTTCTCCAGCTTATTCTGGGTGTCATCATCATTATAGGCGATCGATACAGAGTATGATTATATTGTATTCTATTCTTATTGTCCTCGATTGTGCGTTTTCTGGTGGCTATAGGTTTGTTCCAAGTCAAAAACCGTCCCATGAACGGTTTTGGAACCACTCTGTATACGAATTTCGGGTTCTACGCAAAAATGTTTGGCCCTGCGCAGAATCGTGACGGTATATTGTACGGTTTCTTGATGTGTTGGAACAAAGCTTATATAAACAAGTTCTGGAGCCGCGCACTCGTGTCTGCGTCGCTGTTCTTCAAAAGTTTGTGGTCCGTCATGGACTACTCGACGCCAAGAGGGCCTATCATTTGCCGTCGTCTCTCAGTTGCTGGTATCGATGCGACACACGTGGCATATTTTCCTTAAGAACATATTTGTGGCGTTCTTGTTGACCACCTCGATTTCGTTTTCCCTCCTTCAGTTGACTGTGGAGAATCTGTCGTGAAAGACGTGTTTCGAGAATGCGAACGAAGGGACCTGTCCAGCGAAGTTGATGCTTAATGATGAGAGCTTCCATGCTAGTTGTTTTAACCTCCTCTAAAACGCTAATGTTCGTTCGTCAGTCTTAACATTCAATCCGTGGGATCTCTGTTAGGCATCGCTGGTGGTATTTTTCTAGGCTTTTTAAGTGCCTTCTATAGGTGATCCATGTTTCGTAGCCATATGTTTGGTGTTACAACTGCATTGTAGACGCGAAGTTTGGTCTCAGCGCTGACGTTGTGATTGTTGAAGACTCTCTCTAGAAGTGTCCTGAACGCCGCGCTAACACACTTCAAGCGATGTTGAATTTCAGCGTCCATGTTTGCATTCGTTGACAGATGGCTCTCAAGATATAGGTAGTGTTCTACGTTCTGCAAAAAATGATCATTTATACTTATATTGGGACCTTGGGGATTAGTGCCCGGTGCGGGTTGCTGCAAAATCTACGTCTTGTTGAAGTTGATCTCTAGACCGATTCTCCTGTATGCCTGGTTGAATGCATTGATATTTGCCTGAAGATCTTCCTCTGTATTGGCCATCACGACGTTATCATCCGCTTATAGAAGTTTAATAATCGATTTCGTCGATACTCTCTTCTTGTCTTGTAATCTGTTTAGGTTGAATAAGACGCCATCAAGTATGTACAGGATTTCCATTCCTGACGGCAGGTGACCTTCGACAAGGTGAATTATGGATCCTATAAATAGAGAAACTAAACTAGATGCAATAGCACAGCCCTGTTTAACGTGTGTAGTTATTTGAAAAGACTCTCCTTGTCTATCGTTGCTTAGGACGGTTGCATTCATATTATCATGCAGCATTCGGAGTATCTGGATGTACTTTTGCGAATACCCAACCTGTGCCAATATCTTCCAAAGAGCTTCTCTGTTGACCGAATCAAATGCTCTCACTATTTTGTTCTCTGGATTTTATGACGGTGTTCCGCGACTGCCGCGTCTTTTTCTTTCCCCTGGCTTCCACTTAATGATTTTCTTGTATCTGTCATTCTTTGTATATGTCCGTACCAAATTAGTTGTTTGTCTTTAACATCATCTACTATTGTGTGTCTTACGTTCATAGTTTCTCTAATTATCTGGTTTGTTTTCTTTTCCATTTTTGGCCTACCTGCCTCTCTCCTCCAAAATTCCATTTCAGTTGCTTCCAGCATTTTTGCGGTTCTGTCCTTTGGTAGCCAGGCCTCTGACCTATGTGAAATTATGCTTTTGGCGATGTTGTATTGTATATTTGAGTGCTGTTTGTTTTGCTGAAGGATCCCGCCACAGTACTTCATTTAGTAGGGATATCGCCTTCCGTCCTTGTACTATATCCCGATCATGAATTGCTTACTTCCAAAACCCATTTCTCGTATTACTCTATCAATTTACGACACAAAATAAATAAATATAGTTTAAAAAAACTAAAAAACACGCTTTTATAGTAAATTGAACTAAAAAGTGAAAAATAATTTTTAATATAAACAGAAAATATTGATGAACAAAAAATATTAGAATTATTGTGAAAAAAGCGTGGGGTGCTTTGTTCCACATTTCTCGTACATTGAGCACCCCACGCTTTTTTCACAATAATTCTAATATTTTTTGTTCATTAATATTTTCTGTTTATATTAAAAATTATTTTTCACTTTTTAGTTCAATTTACTATAAAAGCGTGTTTTTTAGTTTTTTTAAACTATATTTATTTTTCACTTTTTAGTTCGATGTATTATTTTGTTGTTCATTTTTTTATTTTGAAGAAAAAACTTTAATTCTTATTTGTGTTTTGTTTATATTTTGCACCATTTATCTTTATCAACGGCTAGTGCGTCGCACCGCACCGGTATCACACTCACACTGAGTGTGTCATTCCTGAATTCGCCCTAGAGATTTCCAGACTTTTGCAGACATTATCCAGACTTATCCAAAGCTTTCCAGAGTCTTCCAGACTTCATCCAGATTTATCCAGACTTGTACAGACTGATCCGGATTCTGGAAAAAGATCCCTAGGTCTTTTGGGACCTTTTCCAGAATTTTTCCGACCCTTTCAAGAAGTTTCCAGGCCTTTTCCAGACGTTTCCAGACTTTTCCAGACGTTTCCAGACTTTTCCAGACAGTATCCAGACTTATCCAGAGCTTTCCAGAGTTTTCCAGACTTCATCCAGCTTTATCCAGACTTTATTCAGACTTTTTCAGACTAATCCCGATTCTAGAAAATGATCCGCAGGTCTATTGGGACCTTTTCCAGAATTTTTCCGACCCTTTCCAGAAATTTCCAAGTCTTTTCTAGACGTTTCCAGAGATTTCCAGACTTTTACAGACAATATACAGACTTATCCAGACCTTATCCAGGCTTGTACAGGCTGATCCGGATTCTGGAAAAAGATCCTCAGGTCTTTTGGGACCTTTGGCAGAATTTTTCCGACCCTTTCCAGAAATTTCCAGGCTCTTTCCAGACGTTTCCAGAGATTTCCAGACATTTTCCAGACTTTTCCTGGCTTCATCCAGATTTATCCAGACTTGTTCCAGCTCACTTGGCTTGTTCCAGGTTCTTGTTCATACACTTCCCAAGGGTCCAAAAGTTCGCACGCATCCCTATGTGCCCGTGCGATAAAGATTTTTAATGTTACTTACAAACATACATACATACATACAAACATACATACATACATACAAACATACATACATAAATACATACATACAGGTGAAGCTAATATAAGCGTGTTAATAAGCGTGTTAAAAAAAGAAAAAATGGTCTACTGTTGATCTTCCTGCCTGATCTGAACCGTACTAAAATTTTTCGATTTTCTGGACCGCGAACGGCATAATTTATCCGAATCAGTTCTGAATCCTTACCGCGAACGAAGCTATTAATAAAATTAGTAGATATATTAAGATGAGTACTCGGGCGGTCGCGCTGGTTTGAGAGAGAAACGCAAAATGCGCAAACAATTTGAACTTAATGCTATGTACACGCTGCGCCGAAGCGGATTAAAATGATTTGGCGATCCTACTAAAAACTACTTGTTTTGTTCCAAGTTCCAATTTCCTTTCCAATATTTGAGCTGAGCTCGAGCGATGTGCTCGCTTAACCGGCTTTGTCCGTGACATTGTTATTGGCCAAACAAAAAATCAAATCATCAGTTGCTTTCGTGCTGCGCTGTTGAGTAGGCTTAAGCGAGCAGACGACGCGGTGGTTTATCTTAATCGAATTTCTCGGCGCGCGATTCTTTAACAACTGAAATTAATGATGGATTAATTGGAATAATTTTTGAAAAAATTATCTTTGTGCGTAATCACGCAATAATTTGAAAAACCATGGCTGAATCAGGCATCGACTTAGGGTATGACCTATCAGCCCTTTTAACTGATGACTTTGATATCGAAAGTGCCATAGATTTTGACGACTTGTTGGGAACACCAAAAAATCAGGAATATTATCAGCTAACTTCGAAAACTATGCCAGTATCCGAAAGGTGAGCACGGAAATCATATTTTCTCAGCTGATTCCAACACCTTTCACTATATACTACATTTTACTTTACCCGGTCGTTATAAGCTAGTACTTGGAAGTTTCATAAAGTTATTTTTCTGATTTAACTCGAAAACTTCAACTTTCACACATAAAAGGTAGATAAATATTAGCTTAATTAATGCTAAATGATATGACGCACACATGGGTTTTAAATGTTTATTGTTTTGACCTGGCGCTTCAAATTCTCAATCCCAATATGTTATCAACTTTGCGACAGATATGTATTAAATAGAAACTAAATGTGAGATTTTTGATCTTGCTTATCGTGCCGGGAGTGTATACAATGCGTTATCTATAGAATGGTTTGAACTGTTTTTGTTGAAATTTTTGGCGAGACATTTCAAAGTACCAACAACTTTTCTACGCCTAACCTCACTTCACGGCCAGAGGTTTCTTTCGATTTTCAAACGGATTGGTACTTGGAAATTTTACCAAACATCATCGCTCACAATGTTCAGTTTATAAAGTTATGCTTGATGAGAATTTACAATGAAACGAGAAATAATTACTGCAGATGTCAATACTAGCTTTCTGTTATGATCCAAAAAATTTCAAAATGTCTTCCGTCAGCTTCCACCATATTTTAACTCATCTCGATAGCAGTTGTTTCACTCACTCCAGAATATCTGCAGTTACTTTGGTTTTTTAAACCCCACAAAAAATCCGATTTGGAGCACTTATCTACGTGGTCAATTCACCACAGCACACCTTCACTTCGAGTGATTCTGGACATCCAATGCTTAGTATGGGGAATTTACTCAATCATGGTGAAACCAAGTAGATTTCTTGATTTTCATGATCAAGTACATTATTCCTAGGGCAATCTGAACTAGAACGCCAGCGTGCAGTCAAAAAAATGATCAAGGTATTCAAAAACCAGAAATGCTCAGTAGGGATGCGGTTCCCAGTAAGCTTTTCAGATGCTTAATAGTTCAGTTAGCAATAATATCCATTTTGCGAAATATTACTTTGTTGCACTTGGCAAAAGTTGCCTTATCTGAAAAATAATGCATTATGGGAATTTTTATTTTCTTCATTCTTCACTCTTCATCATCATCATCAATCAGCCCATCTGCGTCCACTGCAGAACGCCTCCCTTAGATTGTTTCATCGTCTCCGATCCTGTGCTGTACTCATCCAGTCCTCTTCAGATCATCTGTCCACCCTGTTGGTGGACGGCCTCGGTTTCTAGAGGCCTCCTGACGGGGTCTTCACTCCAGAATTTTCGGTTATTTAATTGTTGAAATAGTATACAACTATCTGAGACGGGAATGTACTTTCCAATTTATGTTTAAGTCGACAAAAAATTCATGAAGCTAAGCCAGCTAATCCTTCAGTTCAATCTCCAGTTTTTTTTTTTTTTTTGTGCTTGATAAAATGGTATATGGTTTGTTTTGTAGGGATGTAAGCAGAGAGAGTATTCAAGCAATTAACAGTTGATCTTCTTGACCAAATTATTACAGTTTTCTTTGAGAATGATCAGATTTATCTGAAGTTGACGCAGAAACATTACCTATCGGCAATAAGTGGTGCAAAAAAAACTTCAGGATCTACGGCATCAAAATGATTTATATATGTACAAAAGATAGGGTCTAATGTTAGAACCAGAGGGGATCCAACTGTAATATCCAATGAAGTCGATGTAGAGTGGGAATCATTGCAATTGGCGCATTTCATTCCATTTCATTTATTAACAATACATTTTCATGCATAATATGTAATGCCTTATGACTAGTAACATTATACAGGGTATTCATCGTTCATTGAAGAACATCGCTCGGACCCATTGATTTTTATCGGGGAGGGAAATCTTTTACACATATTTTCAATATTGTCATTTCAACCCTTTCGCGGAGGTAAGATCCAACCCTTAAATCTCAAATGGCATCAGGGGTCAAGTGATACCTCATTTCAAGGTCATCGAATTCTCTTTTCAACGGTGCCTAGTTTTTTTAACAAACAGAAGGATGCGATTTCGGTGGTTTGCCGGTGTGACGTCACAAGCTCCCGCATAATTTATTTTCATGAGGGAGTATCTCAGAAACTATTTTGAATATAGGACTGCGATTTTCACGAGAGATCTTGGATTTTTTTTCTTGATTTAAGTAACGCAAGTTGTTTTTTTGGGTCACACCCCCTTTAACTTTCACTTCTAACTTCAAGTTAATTTTGACGTTCGTTATTTCATCATTTAGGTAAATTAAAGCAGTATAAGAAAGAAACTGGCGAAACATAAAAATTCTATGAATTCCTGTAAATTTGACATTTCGCAAAATTCTCAACTCAGCTCGACCAAAGGTGCACTTGGAAGTGGAGTTCAAGTTTTTTCTAATGTAAATGAAAGTGTGCTGCTGCCATTTGGCAAACGCGTGCGCGTGAATTTCAGGGCAAATTAGATTCTGAAATGAATAAGTGCAGCATTACCTACTCATATTTTACACAGCGCAATAACGTCAAAATCTGGGCAGAATTTCATTTATCAATGAATCGGAAAACCACTGCTAAAGGTCACTCGGGTTAACCGACTGACAAAATAATTATTCTTATTTTGATAAAATTTTTAAGCGTCTTTCAATTCTCAGATGTGCAAAATGTTATATCAACATTTTGAGAACGTATAGATAATAGAAACCCAAGTAATGTGAGGCAATTTAACAAATCATTATAATTCAAGTGAGAGTGATAATTATTTTAATTGATTGATTTTTCTCTATATGCAGCATTTTATTGGGTACCCAGTTAGTGGATCCCCATAAAAAAAATATATCCTCTGCTTAGGATTGTTCCAATTTGTGCTTTAATATCCTTCGCCAGATCAGTAGAATATTGACAAATTCAGTCTTATTTAAACAAGAAAAATGACGAATAAACCTTGATAGCAACTCCTTTGAACCTTCTGCTTATGGCAATTGTTTCGTGTATTTCTTACAGTTAGCTTCTAATTTGGAGTGCTTTTCGACATCCTGTTTTGGAAGTAATCTATTGCCATCGTTTCCTAATACAATTACGTTTATGTCGTTGGGTTGTTTAATTTCAAAGTCGAAGGAAAGTCAACATTCATCATTCTGATTGTTGAAAATCCAACATGGGCTGTACCCTCGATTGAAAATGGTAGGTCTTACGATGGTGTTGATGATATGTTCAATCAAAATCCACGATTTAAGGTGCGCGCGCCCTTAGACGCGGCGCAAACGAAAGCGTGGCGAGACGAAGCGTCATTTAGCTGATGTCCACGCGCTGGGGCAAAGCGTCGCGTCACGTCTAGCACGGATCGACGTGGCGCGAATTTTATTTCCATAAGAATCAACAGATATTTGAATCTCTCGCCGCCTGTTCTCCGCGTATTGGGGCGAAGCGCCGTGAAGCGACAAAAGAAACGACTCCTAGTTGGTCCGAAGAAAATTCGCGCGTCGACCGTGCGCCACTTAGCTTCGCGCCGCCATAGTGCGCTGGCTGCCATTGAATTTAAGCGTTATTAAATGTAAATTTATTGGGCGAAAGATTCATAATTTTCTCCGCGTCGCGAAGCGAAGCGTGGCGAAGGAGAGAGTTGAAATGGCTATGTCCGCACACTAGAGCAAAGCGCCGCGCGGCGCGCAAAAATGTATTTTGTATTCGATTATTTGATTGATTATTATTTCAGTACTAACCTGTGAATAGACATGAGTAGTTCTTTGTCGGACGAGGATCTTTTTGTGATGAGTTTGATTGCAAGGATGGAGGAAGAAGAGCAACCAAAAAGGAAGATTTTGGGTCCATGATATTAATAAAGTAAGACCTACATTCAGGAATGAACTGCACACACGCAAAATAGGATAAGTGGTACCGATAACGCACGAAAGTTGACAACGCTCAAATAATTTTGATCTTCTCGACTCTTCCTTGACGCCCACTGGAGCGAGGCGAAGCGAAGCGGCGCGCAATTCTTCGTCTAGTTGTTCTTACGACTTCTCCAGCGTTTTTCGTCGCTTCAATATGCGGGCTCCTATTTAACTGTATTGTAGTTTCTCGAGCGGCAAAACGCATCTTTGCTCCGCTTCGCGACTCTTCGCCTCAGAGGGCAAGGACCTTAAGTGCGCGTGCACCTTTATTGTAATGTGAGACGTAGGAGGCAAACTGGGAGGTCTTTGATGAGAAAAGGTTTTGTAACAAAGCTCAATCCCGATTAGAGACGACAGATTTATAGTCTTGCAAATATTAGGGAACAACCAAAGAACAAAACCACAAATAAGATACTAATAGGAATTGGTACGAGAAAAAAAATCATCGGACCATTAATGGCTTCAAGACTTCGATGGGCTTTAGAACAAAGCAACCTTAATCAATGATAGGGCAAGAGTATATCGCCACTGTCTCCTACGGTGGAGGTTCAGTAATGGTCTGGAACGGGATATGTTTAGGGTCACTAGCAGACTTGGTGTTTGTTAATGGTGTTGCAGTTGGATTCATACCATGTTCTGCAACAGCATGTCGCGCCATTCGCCCCCAATATCGGCGAATTTTTCTTGCTTATGCACCACAATACCTGCCCTCACATGACTCATCGTTGTGTCTCCGACTTTTTGAATGAGGAGACGGATGAAAAAATTTATTATTGTTGGTGTTTTGAATCATTATTGCTTGTTAATTCGTTGATATTTCAAATAAATTTTTCAATATCCTATTGATGTGGCGGGGGCGAGAGCTCAAGCACAAGTTGAATCTGGCCTAAGTAAGGCTTCAGGAAAATAACATTTTACCAAATGGAAAACATTGAAAGCACTTTTTAATCACCGGACCTTCCAAAATTTGGGGGTGGTCCGAGCGTCAAGTTAGCCCCATCATTAGGTTTTTATCGGAAAATGGCCGAAAATGTTCATCATACTTCAGATACTTCAGATTAAATAAGAATCGAATTTTATTTGATCTGATTTCCAAAATCTTGGGAAGTCAGACCTCACC